GGTCAAGAAAGCAACTATGAAATGAAGAACAATAAAGTAGTGAGCACTCCAGTCAAGAGCTTACCGCCACTAGAAAATGTTTCCATGTGGTACAGAGGCTCTGAGATGGACTAGAAGCTAGCGATGCTACAACCGCCTACACCAACTGGCCAGGTGCCCTTAGCGCCACATCTGGGGTCATGGGAGTTTGCCGGCACTTCGAAACACGAGTATGCCAGCTGCCCTCGTGGAACCGGTAGACCAAGCAGAAGTAGCTAACATCAAGCTCGGAAGTCCTAGACCAGTGCCCGAAAGGTAGCTTAGGTAACGCTGGTTAGATAACAAGTTTAGATAACACTCCGAATGTTCTATGGGATTCTCACTACACACAGGCATCTGCGCTTCCCATGCGCGCATCGGATTCGAGCATTCGATGAAGGCCTGCAAATGTGTTCCTTTGAGCAACCGTAACATCCTCGGATGACGGAATTATGGAAAAGACGAATGCAGTAGCGAACACCTTGATCAACGCGTTACTTTGAGCATAGGGCTAAACATGTGGCTGGCATGCTGGCTGAGTGCTGGACTAATCATGGGTGCTGAATGTTTATAGAGAGCTACGCTCATGATTTCATTCAGTTTTTGGTATGGCTGTTCCCTACGGGTCTGCGCATCATTGACACTTCGTTTACCTCCCGAAGCCCTTCTGTCGATATGCCAGCTCATCAGGTGGAGTTTCTTCCATGTCTTCCTACAAACATTTCTCTGCTCCATATAGAATGTTTGTGGGTGTCGCTCCACATCAGTACGTTTTTATGGCGTGTCTGTTAATGCTACTTACCCGCTTCTGCTGTCGAAGACAGGTGCATTCCCATGCGTAAGGGCATACATCTCAAAGAAGACAGTGCACGTTACTTTGGAAATCAACAGTGATATAGTTTCGTCAGCTTTGTAATATCATTATTTTAATTAAATGAGGACTACCATTACGTTACATAAAGATCCTCCTGGCGAAGACACGGTGAAATACTCCTGGGGCTTCGAAGTTTCCACGGGCCATGTGTTTTGTCTTGAAGACGGATCTTCTCCGTATGGCTGTCGTAGTAAGAAGTAGCTTAACGGTGGCGTATCGTCGACTCAGAAATTCCATGCGCGCTTTCAACGAACAGCCTGCGATCCTGGAAACAATTT